CACCAGCCGTGTGCTTAAATTATTTTGCCAATCTTCAATACTTTTGTATCCACTTTGCCCTCTGGGTGAGTGGCTTCCCAGAAGCATTCACAGAAGGCAGCTAGAGGCAGGATCTGCTCCTGCATAACTGTTAGATGTGCAAGAAATGCAACTGCAAGAAACTGTGTTGTAATATTTAGAAATGGAGATCGTTCTGTAGTAAGCCTTTCTCCTGAGAGGGAAATCTCTTAAGCATTAAAGTCAACACTCTGTGTAAAAAAAGGAAGAGGAAGAGCCTTGTATCCCTCTTCTTTCTGCTGTCATATCTTACCAAAGACACTTGAGAGGGACTGCATTCTCCATGGACTGCTCATAGGGCAGGGGAAACCCGTTTCTGATGTGTTTCTGTGTGCTAGGACCATTCATATTAGATAATGCAATAAGAGGAATGAAATGCCATAGACAGTGCCATGGAAAGTGAGTTCATGGAAATTAGTATAATATCCTGGTTCTGCTTTATTCTTCCTTGTTATAAAGGAGGAGGATAAAAATGAACTTAAACTCACACATTCCAGAAGAATCTTTCAATTTCTTTCTGAGTCCTGAGGAGTGGGAAGGCCTCCCAACCATCTGCTTTCCTATTTTATTTGGCCTGATCACTTCCCCCCCATGCACTGTTAATGTGTCAAATCTAGAAGGCAATTTAAGTTACAATTCATTTTCCTACTTGTTTTGTGCTACAGGCTTGCCTTTCCCTTGTGTTAAAGAATATCTACTTTAATAGAGTATACTAGCAAGATTCAGAGACCAAGAATGGAAGGCACTGAACTAGTCCTCGTTTTCCACCTCACCAGAAACACACTATGAGTTTATGCTACCTCCAGTTACTGACACTGGGAAAGCACGTGACCCCTCATCAAGAAATATGAGTTAGACTAGAAAATGATAACATTGTTTTGACTAATCTATTCCATATGACTACCTAATAAACAAGGGAGATACTCTTCTTTTTTTTTTGACCTTCTGTATTTTTAATTTTTCACGTTATTCTCTGCAAATTGAGTAAATTTGTATACGAATGACAGCTAAAAGATCCAACTGTACTTTGATAACTTCTCCAGATAGATTTTCATCTGGTATATCTAATAGATGCTATTGTTTTCATATTTTAGAATGTTCTAAATGCAGGGAAATCTTGGTGTTTATAATGCATTGCACTGGACAAGCAGGTTTTAGCAGTAGTACTTTCAAGTGGCTGCCTGCCTAAAACATACCGAGGGAATAGAGAATACTCAGTGCAATAAGCATACTTTAAAGCAAAATTATTGCATTCTAGTAGCATTTAAAGTATTGTGCTAGTAACTGTAACTGATGCCCATACATTTCACCCACAAGTATGTATGTGGGAAACAATGTCAGAACTAAAATATAGGAGAAGCAAGGGAGAGTGAAATCAAGTTTACATGTGCTGACTCTTTTGTCCTGAATTTCATACACCCATATTGATGTCATTCTGGAAGAAAACTGGCTACATATCCTCCCACTCCAGCTTTTCCGGTAAGCAAAGCCTCCCTCCAGTGGGTAAAATACAGTATTCTGTGACGTGTCTCATCAGCTACAAGGGAATAATGACAAGCCATTGATAACTTCAAGTCTCCAGGGGCTTTATGCTCAGCTGCACCTCCTCGGTCCTGTGCTACATATTCTGCCTGGGAGATAACACTGGAAAGGTGGGGATCACCAGCTCCAGAGTCACACTGCAGCTTTTTTGCTGGTTCCTTGATTACCCCATCCTGCTGAGTTGTTGGGGTGTCAGCATCAGGGCTCACACTGGGAGACTGAACTGCTGGTCTAACAGCAGACTTGTCCTCCTCTAACCATCCTTATAGTTCAGCCACTTCCACCTGTAGCTGCCACAGCCACCGTTATTTCTCCCTGAAGAGAACCTATGGCTGTAGTAGTAGGTTTGTCGCAAGCAGCGTGTTTGTACTGGTCCTGGGTCAGTTGAGTTCAAGACAGATTTAGTCTGCCCTTTACCAAGTGGGTGCACATCTGAATCTGTCCTTCCAAAGATAACAGAACTTCAGGCACTGAGCTGTTTGGTTTGCTTTCTTTGAGATCTGTGGTTTGGTTGCCAGTAACTTTAGTAGAGCTGGAATATAAATCATACTGAATATAAAACATTTGGGCTTCAGTGTGTCGGGCAGATATCCATGAAGAGAGAAGGCTAATTAAATCCTCTTGCATTTTAAACCTTATAGAATAAGACTCTGGCTGAGGTCTTGCACATATGGGAATTTTCTCTGGTGAAGCCTGATGAGTCGTCGTTCTGGTTGCCAGTAACATGGGTAAATAAAAGGCTTAACAATTAGGAAAGAAAGAAAACAAAGATAATACACCTGTCAAACTTTTTGTATTATTAATGCACAAGTGAAAAAAATGTTATGCTTGTGCATGCTGTTGCCCTTAATACCAGCTGTTGCCTGCACACACGGGTCGGGATTTTACATTGGCTGAACAGCCTTGCTGCCAGCAAGCACTCTAACAGGCAGTGTCAATAACAGCAGTCTTCCCACACTCCATACAATTTAAGCTATTCTTCAAATTAATAATAATACTTAATAAAGCTTCATTTCTCATTTGCAAAGAAAACCTTCAATTAATGTTAATCAGCATCCTCAGAATGTGATCAGGCGGGGCTTGTAGCTGGACGTGCCGAAACAGTTCAACTGGCAGATGGAGCATTTTCCAACTATTCTAATTAACGATTGCTCATTTCAAATGTTAATGCAATTAAATAAATAGGCAAAACAAATAAAAATAATATACAGTATGAAAATGCCACTATCAGAGAGAGTTCCAATCAAAAAAACTGAGCCTTACTCAAGCCCAAAAAGGGCCCAGCCATCTCCTCCTGGCTAAATAAGGTCTAAAAGAGACAGGGCTAGCTTTGTTACGTGCTTTTTCCAACCATTTCTCTGGGATCGACATTTATATGACTTCCATTTTAACCTGCTGGCATCAACTGAGTCATTGCTTTTTCAAGTGTTAGAACATTTTTCTACAGAAAATGGGAAGGGATTTCTTTTGCATATTATGGGCTTTTTTGGTGTAAGTTTTAGACTTCCCCTGCTGCTTGCCTCTTCTGTTTGAAATAATTGCCTGATTCTTTTTTTTCTTCCTTAGGAGTTTTATTTTCTCTGAACCTTGTATACCATACCACTGAAGTAGGACCGCATTTGTTTGGGCTTATAAAGAGTTCAATTAGCCCCTTAATGCCTAGTTCAGTCACAATTAAACCTTCCCTGTTGACTCAGGATTGGTCTTTCTAAAGACAGTGGAGGTGTTTTTAATTATTCATTCTCTGGTTTGTTTCTTACAGCAGTCTCAGCTGTGCTTTATTATTCAAAGGTTAATGCAAACTGAGGACTAAGTAAATTAAATTTGTTTGGCAGCTAGCAACCTGATGTATTATAGACACTGAAGTATGGACGGCAACACTTCTGCTGTCGTGACACTTAAAAAGCCATATTTTATCTTTAAAACAATTGCTAGTTTTGTTATTATGGCTGATAGAAAATGAATATTCTATAATGTTATAGTCTGTGTAACCCATTTTTGTTGAGAAAGCAATGTAGTTTAGAAAGCAAAGAAGCATTAACAGCTATTATAGAAAATTGATGTAGGGACCATGACTAATGAAGTACACTGCACAGTACTAAGTCATGCAGTTGTATGCAGGGAACTGTGCAGTCAGAAGTTTTAATGAAGGGAGCCCAAGGAATTTTAGGTGAAAGAGGGTTTTATTAACTTTCAGTGAAGAAAATGAATAGTTGAACAGTGAACATGATGTCGTATAATAATTGTATGCCTTGGGTACATTGAGAGGCATGGAGCATAGCCAAGAGCTTTCATCTGTTCTACACACGGAGTTATTTCACAAACCCCTGTATGCTGTGAAAATCTTTATTGCAAACATAACAAGAATTGTTTCACAAGAAATGCCTTAACACAATACCACATCAGTTATTTGATATATCTACCAATACTGCCTTCCTCTGAACAATATTAATCAGATATCTGGAGGTCACCATACCAATTGATCCTAATTAAAATTCATTCCTGTATCAGCGACTGGTATCAACAGGCTGTGAACTGTAAAGAAGTCTTCATATTCCTTAAGAGGCCATCCTGAGTAAAACATGTATTTGTATGGACAAGCACTATGTTGTATGAAAGGGAGGCTGTGTTGGCTTTTAGAAGAGTCATGCCCAAGAACTTTTATTAGTTAGTATTTTCTTTCTTTTTTTTCAGGAATTCACCATATGGATGAGACATTTTTCTTGTTTAATGCAGGACTGTGTTTTGTACATTTTGAATATCATTTCAGTACTGTGTTTTTAACCAAGGACTTTGAATTAACATAATCCAAGAGTTTAACCCACTTCCTGTTTATATTATTTTTAAGATAGGGTAATGATTGCAGGGTAAAGCAGCCTTCTGTGCTGTTGGCTGGAGACCTTAGGTTAGTAACTTAACAAGTGCAGCTGCAAGGTTGTTTGTACCCTGCTCAGTCTTCAGTACAGTTTGTGCTGTATAATATGTGTAATTACACTGCTTCTGACTGATGAGGTAGGTGGATGAGGAGGAAGGTGAAAATAGCATGGCTTGTGAAGCAAGGCAGTGACAAGACATCTCAGCAAAGTCTCTATATCCTTGCACTGTAAATAGTGTATATCTGCCCACTAAAATATTTGAGATAAGACAGTTGGGAATATTTCTCTGCTTATTTGAATAATTTATAATGTGATTTTAATACTTTTTCCTGGCTGAATATATCACTTGTCTGGCAGAGCTTAGGACATCAGTTACATGTTTTATCAGGGACTAACTTAATAAATGTGATACACAATTTTAGCTTCTAGCATTATTGCAAAGCCAGTGGTACTACTAGTAAAGTGTAACTGATGCAGTATATTCTTGATTGTATGTAGTTAGTATATTTTTGTTTTCTATTTTAGTGCTGGACCCAAAGGAGACAACATTTATGAATGGAGGTCAACTATACTGGGGCCTCCAGGATCTGTATATGAAGGTGGAGTCTTCTTCCTTGACATTACCTTTTCACCGGACTATCCTTTTAAACCACCTAAGGTTAGTAGAAGGATACTGAAAGTCTTGTAGGAGTCCTCTCCTTCTGATATTTTAATGTCTATGTTGGTATATCCTTTTAGGATGAAACATAAAACTTTCAAAGCAATAATGAATATTTAAACTTGGGTATTTTGATGGAAAGAATTTAAATAACTGCCTAAAATTTGCTTGCATGTTGCCAGTATAACTGAATGGATATGGATTTATTTAGCAAATGGTTGCGTAATTTCCCACAGATATTTCTAATGTGAAAGCATTTATATTTGAGTTGCACCCTTTATAAGCAGCTGAAGGTACTTAATCTTTCCTGTTGACCCATATAATTCACCAGGCCTCTATGGCTGTCTTGACAAAAATATGCACCTTTTACACCCCATATAAATTACTTCTGCAGATGCAGGATACACGATTGTTATGAAGTTATAAGGAATTGCTTTGCATCAGTTTTCTGGAAGAGTATGATGCCAAAGTCAAGAAACTCGAGTGGTAGACAGAGATTTACAGAATTCCTTGTTTTATAATGCTGTCAATAATGACACAACCACAAGTGTAGAACTGTATCAATAACATGAAGGTGACATTACCATGATCAAGGAGACTTGGAATGTCAAACAGGAAAAATCTAAGAAGACTGGAAAAATAGAAATGGGATGGATTGTGGCAGTACAGTGTCATCTATAACCAACAGTAATAATTGCTGAGGAGGATGTCAAAATGAGGCTTTATTGGGTGGTCGCAGGATTATTAAAAACCACCTGCATAATGCATCTATAAAAAAGGCAAATATACACTTAAGATGCATCCTCTGGCCTGCAGAGATAAGGAATTACCAATGTCATATACAAGACACTTGTAAGACTTTATTTGCAAGACTGAATGCAAATCTTAACACACATGTTCACTAACAGGAACAGAAACTGGGAAAATTTACTCCACAGGGCTGGTAATAGAATCAAATAAATTGATGGGCCTGTCTTTCATGAAACAAAGTGAAAAAAGGTGAATTGTTCACCTTACAACTGTGGAGAATAAGTGTCATGGTTTGAGATAGCCCCGACATCCAATTCCCTAGCTCCATTCCCCCTCCCACATCTCAACCTAATGTGAGATGGGTTTTTCCAGACAAAACACACCAGACTCAAAGTGGGGGAAAGGGAATATATTACAATGACTGTACAAATAAATACCATATCACATTATACACATGATCACAAACTATCTCTACCATGACATATGTATTTACAATGGATCAGATCTCTTCTCCCCTCCAAATAAACGTCCAGGAGGGAAAGAAGGACAGATCCCTTCCAGTCCTTAAACAGCAGCATCTTCTGAGGCAGCAGGTTTCTTCTTCTCATGCATGCAGCAGCTGATAGCTGGCTTTCTGCCAGCATCCACGAGGGAGGTATTCAAGCTCCCCCGGCCCCATCGCCTCACAACCGAGGGGTCTTCCGTGGTCTTCGTAACCCCAGACAAGGTCGTTTCACCACGTCATATCACGAAGACACAGGGGGGTCTTCGTGACGGTCTGGTATCTCCAGGAGATTCAAGCTCCTTGCAGGGCCTCTGTGCCCTGTCTCTCAGGCTGCCACGTGGCAGCAGTGCAAGGGGGGGGAAGCCAAGGTCGCCCCCCCCACATTCCATCTGGCCGTCCTGGTCCAGCTGCGGGACGCTCCGAGCTTCTCAGCTCCTCTCTCTCCGGTGCTGCATGTCTAAAACTGCTCTCCAAAATAGGAGTCCATGTCCCTCTTCTCCAAGAGGGATCTCAAGGGAGTTTTGGGGGAGTGTGGTACAGTCTTACCCCCAAGAACTCTGTAGCTCTCAGTTGCTGGCTCTCCTTTCCTCAGCTCTCCTTCCAGGAGTCCTTTCTCTGGTGCTGCATGTTGCTCCTGTTGCTCCTTCAGTTCAGGTTCTTATCTCTGGCTCTCTGCCACCGTTTCTCTGGTCAGTGTCGGCTGCTGCTCTGCGCCCATGGAGAAAACATCTCCCGGCATAACTACAGGCACCTAGCCCAGCTTTATGCTGTTCCAGGTCCCTGCAGCCCCCCAGCCAGGGGCTGGGAGGCCCCAGAGGGCCCAAGGGGCTCAGAGCCCCTTCCTCGTGGCTCTACAACATGGTCACCTCTCCTCAACCAAACTACAACTCTTCTTTTCCGGTCTGGTTGTGGTATGTTTACATTTCTGCAGGAGCGCCCATTGGGCAGAACTTCAAAACTTCCAGGGGTTTCCACCCCTTGGGGTCTACCACTTCTCTTAGCCCCTGGGGAAAACAAGGTTCAAACCACTACAATAAGTGTCTGGAAGAACTCCACAGAAGGAGCTATTAGATGAAAAATATTTACCTTCTTTTTGACACATTCATGAAAGGATCAGTTGGACCATAACAAAAGGGTATTGTATTAAAAGAGAGAGTAGCTGATTCCTTTTGGATTACCATGAGTAGACCACTGAAAGATAAGTGCTTATAAATAGAATTTTAATGCCACAGTAGTAACATTTATATCAGTTAACACTGATACTATCAGGGAAAGTTTAAAAAAAAAAAAAAGAGAGCTGTGAATTCAAAGCATTTGCCACTCTGTAAATTGGACTTTCCCAGCTAGTGACTTAAAGATGGGTCAGTATGGCAGGATAAGGGATGATCTAGCTTTGTTTCCCACCTCTAGTGTTCCAGTTCAGGGAAGCTTTGAGGTCACTGAGAGGTCTTACAGGGGTTTTACACTTTGCTGACTGCACATTTTCTGACTTAGGCAACTGTTGTTACATAGTGAAGTAAGAATCTGAAACTTTATAACTTTTCCTTCAGCAAGTTAAAGCTTTGGTCACACTGAGCTGGGATGATGTCCTGTTATTCCTGACTCCCATCCAGCTCAGCCCACTTGCTATACAAGGTCTGTCATAATAGGCCCCATTTGGTTGCTTTTTTCCTGGGCTTAGCCTTTTCATAGTAGCTGTAATGCAAGGGTTACATTCAGGCCCCCAGCAAATTAAAACTGTATTATTTAGAGGATAAAATGGCTGTATTGTCTATAAAATAAAGCTTGAAGGTCTCTCAGAGATCCAGACCTAATATGTAAAGAATTAGTTCTGAAAGACAAGTTGCAGGGACATCTTTTGTCATTCTCTCTGTTGAATCTTTTGAGTCTTGAGGCAGTATATGCAATAGACATCCTTTTAAATAGAAGTTGGAGATCCAGTTTGCTATTTCACCACAAGGTAAAGTCTTTTTCAATCTATACTCAGTTGTGTTTGGCGCTGTGTTGTTTTGAGACATGAGGAATGCAGCTGTGCGTTGCTTATTAATGAAATGTCAAGCAAAGAGGTGGTTCTTGTCCTGCTTTGTAATAGATTTTTCGTCTGCCTTTATCTTGATGCCAGTTGTCATTGTAAGAAATGTGTGCACATAAATCATATGAAAATGTACTGCTTGATAAAGGATGAGAGAATTGATGATGGCATATTGTATTACTAAAAGGCCAGTATTTACAATGAGGGAAATTGTTATCTGTAAGAAAGTAATGAGTGTGTGTGCACAAGGGACTAATGTCAGATATAACTGTGTTGCAAGCATATGTTGTACGTGTGGATTCTTATTCTAGTCACTTCAGCCATGGTTGTAAATGACCCCTATTTTCAGACCTGCTGTAGGATCTCTCAAACTGTTGCTATTTCATTACACCTATTTTCCAGACCCTATAAAACTCATTCGTAAGTAAAATAGTTTGGAAATCCCTTGAATAAAGCAGCATGGGAAGACGACTGCTTATCATAAGGTAGCTGCCGACAGTCAGTGTTGTTGGGAAGGGGTGGTTAAATATGTTCTCCACAAGCTTATTTCTAGCAAAAGAAAGGTAGTGAGTACGTGGAACATAACATATGGCCTCACAGTACGGTGCTATCTGTGTCACTGGGTGTTGACATCTCTACTTCACCACGAGATTTGTGATATTTGGTGCTGTTCTCAAAATCATGGGTTCTAGGGTTATGGGAATAAATCATCTTAGATTTTATTCTAATTATAGTCCCACTCCTTACGGCTCTATCATCTTAGAAAATCTAAAGTACAAGACTGTGAAATGTGCTGAGAAAGACATAAAATGTATTCCTGAATGTTGGCAAGATTACCTTCCTGTAAGAACATAGCAGAAAGGGTCTAATTCACATTTCTCGCTATGACTGAATTCGTACATTACTCCTGAGATTTCTGTGGGCCATTTTCATCCCTCTTTCACTATGAAGCAACTAGATATTTAAATGAGTACTGTCAAAATTGATCTTCCAAAAATGTGACCACAAAAGACCTGGGAAGAAACAGAAACTGTATTTGCCAGATTTAGTTACTTGACCCAGCCTGAGGTTCCAAAGGCAAATGCCCATGTCATATAACATAGTTACTGTTAAAGGGCCTAATCTACAGTGTATTAAAATCAGCAGAAAGATTTCCACAATCCCTTTTCCTTTTCTATTCTCAGATGTTGTGCACTCTGTTATCATGCATGTGGATGTTGCACATGGACATTGAGGAGTGTAAAATAATTTTTAAAATAAGAAAATATATTAAAAATGGATTTTGGATAGATGTATAATATTTTATTATTATTATAATTAAATATATTTGTGGTGTAACCATTGTTTGATTTGTATTATACAAAGTTCTCAATATTTTCTAAAGGATCCAGATTGCTTCTATAAACACTTTAATGCCTATTCTGATTACTGGGCACCCTGTTGCACATTGGAAAACATTAATTAAAATAAAATTAAAAAACTGAGAGCACGTTTGCACATGAAGATTCTACCTATATTTTGGTTTTTCTTTTTAAGAAATTTATAAACTAATTTTCATTTGTTTTTCCAGATAATTAACTTGCTTTTCTACTTTGTCGTTATCTTGTAGAAGAATATGAATTACCTGTTCATTCATGTTTTTGTTTAACAAAGAAAACGTATCTATCCAAACTTTCGCTATTAGGTCTTTCTTCAGTTTTTACACCTTTGTAG